ACCTGCACTTGAGGAGAACAATATAATTGTGACACCACAAAATGTTATGGTTTTACTGGAAAGTGTTATAAAAGTCCCGGATAGTTTGTATAAATATTTTAGATTGGGCCTGGCTGGTTGCTGGTGAACACCTGGACCTATGGGCAACATTTCAGTATTTTATCTATTCTGTATTGGCCTTAGTTATCAGCAGGGCCCAAGAATCAAAATTTCCACGCAATAATATTTTAGTAGTTTGCGTAACCCAGCAGCAACACCCCATTTCAACCGTTATCATATCAATTTCTATTAGTGCATCTGCAATCATCAGAACATCATTGTTTTTTTTTAACTTCACAGCACCTTCAAGAAAGTTGGATATCTGGGCAGAACGGATCCACACACTGGAAGGCTTTTCTATAGCAGTTTATTGGAAGGTATTTCCTGAAGCGCTTTATTTTGTATCATGGTTACATTGCTTTGGAGTTTCCCAAACACATCCTTTGCCTATCTCTGATCATTGTTTATATATACTTTCTTTGAGAATTTTATGTTGTAATCTCCTGGATGATTTTTTAGAATGGATCTCCGCCAGGTATATAAAACATTGCTTGAAGATATTTATCAAGGCATCATCATGTATAGTTGTTGCACACTAGAATTTGGAACTTTCACTTCATAAGTAGGCTGATAATATACATAAGCAGAGGTTGATAATAGGGAAATATGTTCAGCGCATTGATCGGTAGATCCAGAGATACACGCAGCTCGATCCTGTAGAAGTCAAGTTTGACCCTGTCCCCTCACACTTGGGTCCTAAATGGAATTGGGCAGCCTGCTTGACCAATGGGTCACTCATGCTCAGCTGGATAGATTATATCCTCATATGCTTCCAGGTATTGATACTGCAGCTGTGCTGAGCAACTTCCTCTCTGCTCTGAAAACACAGGAAGTCATACGCTAGGTACAGCAGCCATGGAGAGAACACTTAGTATTGAATACAAGGCGTTCACTGATTGAAATAGGGGTGGTGATGCCATGATCCGCACTTCTTCCAATCAGAGTACACCTTGTATTCATTCATAATAATACTAGACACTCTATGAATGGCTGCAGTACAGTACAGTACAGCACTAGTAGCTCAAACTATTACAGTGTTTTTACCAGGTATTTTATATGCATTCTACCGGTAATACGTTATACTTGTAGCTAATGTAGCTTGAAATGTGTTTTTGTGTTCAAGCATTTAAAGCTTTATGAAGCCAATGGAGACGTGACCTCCTATAGCATAGAGTGGAAGCCACTTCACAGTAACCAGAGGCCCCAGAGTGTCCGACGGTCCGGAGAGTTCAACAGAACCCAGATTAACCTTCCTGCTGTTGATAATGGGGATTATGAAATAAATGTAACTGCTATCAATTCAGCTGGATCATCGCCACCTTCAAGTATGACCACTGTTCAGCTGCCAAATGGTAAGTTCATCCATTTTGATATGGTCTCCATGATGCAAAGGGTTCAGTTTACAGTTTTTTTAAAGTTCTCTTAGGCCTCCTGCGTTTATCCCATGAAAAATTAACCTTAGAAGTATCCCGCCCCTGTGTAACCTTGCATAGAAGGGGAAAATTGAATATTCAGAAAAGAATACATAAAATAGAAGCAGTCATTTTTTTTAAAAGTTATACTATGTGAATGGGAACTTGTAGAAAATATAAAGGTGTCATCCCAATTTAGCTGCAAAAGTCGAAATACACTTTAAGTAGATATAAACCCCATCTGAGTGACTTTCTTTGGTAAAGCACTGTGTAGGGCTGCAACAACTAATCAACTAAATCGATTATAATCGATTATTGAAAAAGTTGTCAACTTTTTCAAACATCGATTAATCGGCTTCCGATTAGTTGGCCCTGTTCACGGCTCCACACACGCTGCGTGACGCACCTCCTCCCCACCTCACGCTCGCTGCTGCCAGACCAGCACGCATCCATGCTCCACACCTCCTCCCTGCCTCACGCTCACCACCCACCCACATCCATGATCGGCACAGAGACGCGGGGAGAAGAAGTAAGGAGGAGCAGGTGTGGGGGCATTTCCCTCCCCCCAACATGGTGCTCTATAATGTATTGCTGGGATTTGTATTTCCTCTATAGCTGATGGTACATTGTGCTGTATATTATATAGAGCAATGTACCATCAACTATAGAGGAATACAAATCCCAGCAATACATTATACACTGTATGTATAATGTGTTGCTGGGATTTGTTGTATTCCTATATAGCTGGTGGTATTCTGCATTTCTGCATTGCGCTGTATAGAAGACTACAAATCTCAGCAATATGACATTATACCTCGCAATGCGGAATACCACCAGCTATAGAGGAGTACAACAAATATACTTTATTATTAATAAAGCAAATCTGCTTTATTATTTTAGTTTATTTTGTTTCTTCGTTGAAGATTCTAGTACCAAGAGCTGCTAGATGATTCATACTGGATATTATTAGATCCTGGGAGTCTCTTTAGCTAGCTGACAAAACTGAGAGATTCATGCCGGATTACTTATATCCTAAAAGTTCCTACACTTGTCATGACGCATGCCATCTCTGGTTTCAGTACTCATGACTCGTCCTACGGTGGTTCTGCGTCATGAAGCAGGCCATCTCTGGTCTCAGTACTCATGACTCGTCCTGCGGTGGTCCTGTGTCATGAATCAGGCCATCTCTTGTCTCAGTACTCATGGCTCGTCCTGCGGTGGTTCTGTTCATGAAGCAGGCCGTCTCTGGTCTCAGTACTCATGGCTCGTCCTACAATGGTCCTGTGTCATGAAGCAGGCCATCTCTTGTCTTAGTACTCATGGCTCGTCCTGTGGTGGTCCTGTTTCATGAAGCAGGCCATCTCTTGTCTTAGTACTCATGGCTCGTCCTGCGGTGGTCCTGTGTCATGAATCAGGCCATCTCTTGTCTCAGTACTCATGGCTCGTCCTGCGGTGGTTCTGTTCATGAAGCAGGCCGTCTCTGGTCTCAGTACTCATGGCTCGTCCTACAATGGTCCTGTGTCATGAAGCAGGCCATCTCTTGTCTTAGTACTCATGGCTCGTCCTGCGGTGGTCCTGTGTCATGAATCAGGCCATCTCTTGTCTCAGTACTCATGGCTCGTCCTGCGGTGGTTCTGTTCATGAAGCAGGCCGTCTCTGGTCTCAGTACTCATGGCTCGTCCTACAATGGTCCTGTGTCATGAAGCAGGCCATCTCTTGTCTTAGTACTCATGGCTCGTCCTGTGGTGGTCCTGTTTCATGAAGCAGGCCATCTCTTGTCTTTAGTACTCATGGCTCGTCCTGCGGTTGTACTGTGTCATGAAGCAGGCCGTCTCTGGTCTCAGTACTCTTAACTTGTTCTGTGGCTGTCCTGTGTTCCTGTTTTCATCATTTAACGGTTGGGGATTCCTGTTGTTATGTCAGGAACAGGGCCATGGAGTCATGAGTTAAAAAAAAATAGTTGACCTAATGTTTATAAGGTTGGGTATTTCCCTCCTTTTTATTTAACTTGGTCTGTGTGTTTTTAGACTCCTATTTGGCTAAATGCCTCTTTATGTGGAGTTTGACTGATTTTATTTAAATTTCCCTCCAATTGTTTAACGGACGGGGACTTTGATTTGATGAAGCACTTGTTTTTATCTACTTTGCATGCGCAGTCCGTTTTTCTTGTTTCCTCAGAGCAGTGTAGTGCATCTGCAGTGAAGGTGGACAGAGAGGTTTCAAATCTGCTTAATTTGTTCATTATCCTCTATTTCATGTCACTTTTTCGGTAGAACAGATATACTCTGTTTATTACTATTACATAGCCATTCTTTGATTGTTCTGTTGTCTGCAGCAGGTGGTTGCAGAACCTCATAATTTTTGCCTCACACCAGTTGGAGCCGTGAGTGTTATTGTGCTTGAGGCAGAATTATCATCACAGACTGTCAGTAGGTGGGCACTGTGTGAAAGTGAATTTTTTCCTTCCTACTGTGTCTTACTGCTGGTTTTATTCTGCTCAGGCTTACTGGGAAAAAAACTGTAACTGTTTATTTTCGTCCTCCTCTTTCTCCCAGGCTTTTAATTATGTCGTTTTAATTCAGTAAGGAGTGGCATACCACATGAAAGTAATACAGCGGCCAGACATTGGTGACACTTATCTAGGTGCCTGGGGCACGCAATCTTTCATTTCTTGATTAAGGAACATAGCACATAGATTCAGATCATGAATACAATAAACCTAATGTATGCTTGTCATAGGACTATGCCATGTCATTGATGCATTAGCTGGACTGTGACAGATTCACCCAGCATCAGAAAATAATGGCTGCCTGTGTTCCTCTAAAGGTCTGCTGTTATTTCTTCTTCTGCGTTTTCCAGTCTAAGTTCACATAAACCTCGGTGTGTCTGCAAGTTTCTTCCTTTCATCCTAAGTTTGATTTTTATTTATGGTTTTTATATAAGGATTGGGAAATTCTAGATAAGCAATTTCTGCTTCCTAGACACTTAGTTCTCTGTATGCTTTTCCACATGATTTTGTTAAAAAATAATTAAATTGGAGAATCTTTCTCATACCATCTATTCGTTTACCTGGTTCGGCCCGTCAAACATTATTGTTTACGGTCCTTATTTCCCAGACTTTGGCTACTTTGACAAAATCTTTAAAGGAGAACTATGGGGTTAGGGCTTTTCCCCATAGTTCTTCTGAGGGTAACGGGAGGACACAAACTAGCGTCTTCCTGTCACCCAAAGCTCAGTATACCGCGAGCTACAGCTCGCGGTATACTGAGACGCCCTAGCTGAAACTGATCCAGACAATTTATGTCTGGATCCACCCAGCTGCGTGAGTAACAGCTGGCTCTGCCTATCTAGAGGCAGAGCCAGCTGTACCCTCCCCCTCCCCTGTCCGTTCCACCAGTCAACGCTGGAGGATCGGAGGGGGGAATCCAGTCACTCCCCTGTCACGGCTCTCTGCATTGACAGGATCGACAAGTGAGCGAACGCCGGTATGTGTTCGCTCACTTCCCGATCGACAGTTTAATTGTCACAGGTCGGCTAGAACTATGAGGATGAGTGAAAATCACTCACCTCATAGTTCTCCTTTTAAGTACAGAACAGGCAAGGCGACTGCTGGGTTGATCCACATTTTATTGTGTGGATTAGATGACTGTTGCTTCCCATTTCATATGTGAAGCGTTTCTTGATGCTTGTCGTCCTTTGTCTCGTGTGACTGTCTCTTCCATTCAAATAAGCAGAGCTACCTGGTTTAAGTCTAGGTTGTCAGAACCCCAATGCAAAGATGGACTTTTACATTTTCACAAGGTGAGAGGACTTTATTAAGCTACCTTGGATTAGATCATTAAAAAAGCTATGGGAGGTAAAAGTGAACGCTTACCTCAGATGTGGGATAATAGGGATCAGCGTCATAAGCCTGCTTCTTTTCTTTTTACATTTCTTTAGTTCCCAGTTTAAAAAGGCATCTTGCAGTTCCATACCTTTTGCGCCTTCTAAACATCCTTGGCAAGTAAAAAGTCTGCTTTTGCATGGTCTGCTCCCGCTTTTTCTATATCTGGTGGGGATGCCTGATGACATTTGAGGAGACATGGGAAACTCACATTTCAGAATTTATTTTCCTCTCCCTCAACCTCCCTGGTTCTTTGCTTTCTGGTTTCTCATGTCTCTCCAACGTCGGACGATCCTTTTTTTGTGCAGTTCAAAGTCTGTTGGATACGGGGGTTATTTTCATTATTTTTGCAGAATGTTTTCAGGGTTTTTACACAAACCCAATAGAAGACATCCTCCGATTCTGGATTTGAAAGCACTCAATGCTTTTGTACATATTCACAAATTCCGGATGTAATCCATTCGATCAGTTGTCTCCTCTCTTAGACAAGGAGATTTCTTGGTTTCTATAGACATTAAGGATGTGTATCTGCACATTCCTGTATTTCCAACTAATGGGCGTTTCCTTCATTTTGTAGCTCTTTGGGTTGTCTTCGGCTCCAAGGGTTTTTACAAAAGTACGTGCTCTGGTTCTGGGGTGTTCTTGTTGCAAGGGCATTCCAATTATCGGATACTTGGATTACCTTTTTCTTCAAGAACAGTCTCTTCCTATTTGGCCCTCAATATCTTGGCGGTGCTGCGGACATTAGAGGACTTCGGGTGGATTCTGAATATCAAAAAGTCATCCCAAGATCCATCACTTGGAGTATTTGGGTTTTCTGTTGGGTACTCTTCAAGTAAAAGTGTTACTTCCTCACAACAAATTATTGAAGCAGCAGGATCAAATTCAGTCACTTCAATCCTGTCGCCGTTGCTGTCTGAGAACCGGCATGAGAATACTGGGATTGATGGTGTCAACCTTCGAAGTGGTACCTTTTTGCTTATTTAATTCCATGATTTTATAGAGGATCATTCTTACAGCATGGGACAAGTCAGATTTAGTGCCCAGGCCATGATGTCTTTGTTGTGGCGGTTGACATCCCCTGCATGTAGTTTTCCCATTGTTTTTTAGTAGAGTAAGGAGGGGGTTCAAGTTTCTGACAGTGGTTTAACTGCTGTCTGTGATTTTCTGTCTGGGTAACAATTTCTCCCCTTTCTTGTTCAGGTGTTAAGAATTCAGGGAAAATCACCCAGGCGGGCTTACTTGGTGGAAATAAAAATATGACAAAAGATTTAACTCTTCCACTCTCTATTCAAAGCTAAAATAAATATTTAGCTAAATCAAGGCTTTCAGCAGATAATGCAGAATATATTTCTTCCTGGGCCCTCTGCCGCTTGCCATGGTTCTTGTAATGGGCATCACTGGGGTCATAGAGGTTCTCATAGGTTCATTAAAAAAAAAAAAGCTTTTGTACTTTTTTTTTTTTTTGCACGACACCCACTATTGAATTTAATAGGAGTGTACATGTAAATCGTTGTGCTTCGGAAAATGTGCAACAAATCACTTCTGTGTGAATGGAGGCTAAGTCTCATTAAAATTACCTCAAGATAAATACTCAAAAGATGTGCTCCCTGAAAATACATAATATTTTTATTTTAAAATATATGTAATGTCAATCATTTCATTTCCAAGCTGTACCTTCAACATGTTAGTGTAATTTTAAGGCCTTTAGATATTTTTCAATCAGCAGTTTTCATTAAAACAAATGGTGATTGTCATGAAGCTCCTTGTTCAGGCATTTTTGGTGACAACACTCTGTCCCTGACTCTTTATTGTTCTCCTGCTTTGTCACCCTGTCACACAGGATTCTGATGGAGACAAGTGGCTGTTTTTACCATCCATTGAAGGATAGACGAACAAGCCACTTTTGTCACCATCAGGAAAAGCGCCCCAAAAAGTGCCATGCAGCCATCACTGGAGCACATGTAGGCAGGAAGTGGCTACTAAGACACTGCAAGAGATCAGCAGCACTGAGATGCCACATATCATGGGAAAAGGGATGAAAACAAGTATTTTTTTTTTTTTAAATGGCAATTGTTATATATTTTATGATGCCTTGCTGCATCATACTAAACAAACCAACCATTCAGTTAGAGCTTACATCTACATTTTTGGTCTTTCTTTCCTTATAGATGTTGAAATAGAGAGGGCAGTTGGAGACAGCAGTGGCATTAACATCACCTGGAATCCAGATTCAAACTTCAGCTGTGGTTATGCAGTGAAATGGGTTCCTTCTTTCCACCTTCAAGGGGCTGACCTGCAGTGGAAGAGATTTTCATCACACAGGACAAGTGCTTTTATCCATACACGTAAGTTGAAATGCAGTTGCAAAGTGTCTCCCAGTTTTGAGGGACGTACCAAAAATATGAAGTCCTATGTTGGCATAGATTGACGTAGGTTCTCCAAGACGCCGGCCTATACCTTTTTATTCGTGTGAAATGTGGTTTTGTTGTGCTCCAGAAACCTGTGAATTTAGGCACTTGCTCCTTATTAACAAATTAACCCAGGGTCACAAGGGCACCACATTATTTTTCTACTTTTGTAAAGGGTAGAGTCTTTTTCCTCATTATATAAAAATTAGGAGGAGAAATAGTCAATATACTGATGCTTTGCATTGTTCTCAGTAGGAATGCCGATGCCGACTATTTGGGCGAGTGCTCATAGTCGCCCAAATGCTCCGATGCCTAGCCCGATACTTCCTGTATCAGGAAGCCGGGCAGCGCGTCATTGAATGCTGTCCGACTTTCTGATTGGCCGGGAAGCCGGCTTCATGCTCCCTTGTCACCTCATGACGATGGAAGCAGGAAGCCGGGTGCCGCGTCATTACACTGCGCCTGGCTTCCTGATTGGCCAGAAAGCCAGCTCCATGCATCCTCGTCGCATAGTGACGAGGAAGCATGGGGACGGCTTCCCTGCTAATCTGGAAGCCAGGTGGCGAGTCATTACACGTCACTTGGCTTCTTTAATGGGACTTCAGGTATCGGTATTCGGTATCTGCGAGTACTGAAAAAAAACATCGGTACTCATACTCTATACCGAAATACCGGTATCAGTGCATCCCTAGTTCTCAGCAAAACAGCTGGGTGAAGTTGGATGCAGCGTGGACCTGAGTCTCTTAAAGTGGACTGCATCCTCACACTCTATACAACAGTGCATAGAATGTGATAACTCGGGGACCTTAGACCGCTGCACCGCTTGCACAGTGGGTGGGCTCTTGCCTCAGCTACACCCTCTGCGCCCCCTGTTGCAAAATTCTGGCTTGTAACTGTAAGTGCCTGTGTGGATGGGCTTTGGGCATTTATCAATTACATTAGTTTGGCGGAATTCATTGACATTCATTGACAGGTGCATTAGACCTGCAGTTGAATCTCCTTCTGACCTGCATTTGACCCCTGCAAGTGCAGCCCTATAGACTTGTATGGTAATCCAACACCCATTTGAAACTAACAAAAGCCCACCAAAACAGGCCCTAATACTTTTTAAAGTGAGCTGGCTTAAAACTTTTTTAGGGTACAGAAGTGCTAAAGAGCAGAAACCTTTTGCTACCTGCAAGTACTTGGATTAGTCTTCAGATTGTTCACTGTGCCCCGGTAGAGACCCTTGGATCCTAGGCTCAGACTGGACATAAAACTTCAACTTCTGCTGAAATTAAGCCCCAACCTCTCTTGCATGAAGCTCCTCCCTTCCACAATGAGTTTTCAGGTGCCAGAACTTTAGTTGTTATTAGAGATACTAACATTTGACAGATGAATGCCAAGAAATTGGACTTGCTGGCAGTGAGGCTTGATCTCAACTTTGGTTGAAGTTAAGGCCTCATGTACATCCTAGGCCTAAATTAAGGAACTGTTGTAAGAGTTCATACAGGCACAGACAGCACAAGGGTCTGGAAGTTCAACATTTAGAAAAACTGTTATGATCAGGTCAGGTGCAGTATGTTGAGATGTTTTCTGATTAGATGAAATGGCTGCCCTTCCTGTACTTATTTGCAGTTATGTAATTTGTCTCTCAGAACAAATCCAAGCTGGTGTCCGCCACAACATATCACTGTATGGCTGCAGAGAGAACAAGTTTCAGCTTCTGAAAAGCCTCATTGCATACACAGAGGAGCTACGTAAGTATTGTCACTGTCACCGTTATTATGACTTGTTAGCCGCAGAAACAGAATGCAGCTAGGAGTTCTTGCAACAGTAGCTACCGACTTTCCACTCATTGCTGTGTCCTAGAATGTGAACATGGAAACCATGCACTCAACAAATGGTTGTGTGTGGACAAACAGCAGACTCAGGTGTGTTGAAGGTACACATAGGCTGCAACCTGGGGAAACAATTGGGGATAATACTGATAATACTTTATAAAGTTGGTTCTGTAGAATTAAGGACACTAAAGACATGTGTAAATACTTTCACACACACACACGTACGATTTTATGATAATAAAAGGCATTATTTGTGTTTGTGTATTGTAAATTTTAATTCTTTTCCATCACCAGCTCCCAAAGTGTCTCCAAATTTTACTGTCCAAGAGACTACGTCGAACTCCATACTGGTGAAATGGGAACCTATTCCAGAAGATAACCTGTGCGGATTCCTGCAGGGTTATCTGGTCTACGTAGTGAAAAATCAGAGCGACTCCTACTTTGCCAAGTTCAGGGATCTAGGTAATTATTGTGCTGCATACCGAGCAGAATGTACAGCATCTATACATGTAACAAGCAAATACATCTCCATCTCTCTCTCTCTCTCTCACTCGCTCTCTTTTTCTGCTTCTGTCTCTCTGTATCTTTTGCCTTTACTTTATTTTTTCCTTTCTCTGTATCTCCTATCTCTTACTGTTTTTTTCCCAATCCCTCTTTCACTCTCTCTCCATCCCTCGCTCCCACCCGCTCTCTCTCACTCACTCTCTCTCTCTCTTTTTCTGCTTCTGTCTCTTGGCATCTTTTGCCTTCACTTACTTTTTTACTTTCTCTGTATCTCTATCTCTTACTGTTTCACCCCTCTCGCTCTCTCCCCCCCTCCCCTCTAATTTTGATGACAAAAATTAAATTTTGGATGACCCATCACTTTCTGTCCCTGTGACATGTATGCATTCAGTTCATATGATGATTGCATTTTCATTTACAGTAACTTTTATATATTCCTTTCAAGCTCGTCACTCTGAGACTAAAATGAAGAATATCACAGACTTGGCTGTAAGGGTGTTGAAGATTGAAGATCTACAAAGTGGAACAAATTACCAACTGGGTCTGCAGGCCTATACCAGAGGGGGACAAGGCCCAATCAGATCGTTTAGTGTTGTGACCAATGACAATGGTATGTACTTATTGTAACAAATGTTTATTATGTGTCACCTTATCAGTACCGGTGTTTCCAGTCATGCATAAATGTGCAGAAATAACATTGAAAATGCAGGATATTTGGGGTTGTCTGAAAAAAGAATCCTGATAGCATTTGAAGTCTCACAACTTTTTTTAATTATAGTCATGTACTCCCACATGTTCTGATATGTGACTCATTTTTACTTAGAAATGCCTTAAAATACCTTTTTGTCTCTCTGTGAATATGCTACTTAGTTCTGTAGTGCTCTGTGTTGGCATAGCTGAGTTACAGCCACACCCCTCAGCACAAGAGTCCTTAAGGTGCCCACACACCTTACAATTATCTGCAGATTTTCTGTGGTCAGATGGAAAAAGTGCAACAGATTGGTCCAGGTGGAGATTACTCCATCCACACAGTTAAGTGTAGATGGAGGAATCTGTTGCACCTTTTCCATCTGACCACAGAAAATCTGCAGATAATTGTAAGGTGTGTGGGCAGCTTTACACAGCCTGACTTGGGTGTCTGTCCAGGTCTGTTACGGAGTGCTGATTACAGAGTGCGCTGGATGTAATTCTGGTGCCTATTGGACTGCAAAGTTCTTTAATGGATTGAAATTCCAGTTTTGTTGTCCTAAAACAACCCCTTCCATATCAACTATACAAGTTGGAGTTATGTGTAAAAATGTTAATTATTGTACCTCAACATTCAAATGAATGCATGTATTTCATTTTGGCCTTTTCTTACACACAAGAATTGTGAATTCTGTGAAAATCATTTTTATGGGCCATGTCCAGTATTAATTTAGTGTTATAGGCTAATAGACACCCTCGGTAAATACATATTACTTTACCACGCACTTGAATTTTGCTGACAGGTTTTCCTTATAGTACTAAAACATCTGATTTTCATCGTACATACCATTCACTTAACATCAAACACACAAAGAATGTAGCAGCTGCTCTGCAATATCTCGAACCCTGAAAAAGGGGGACTTTGCAAACCCAGAAACATGTTGGCGTCCAAGCTTTGAATAAATACAATTGCTTAACCTTGACTGGCTCACCAATTCAGTAGCGCTGCATTTTTTTTCTATGCCTGGTCTCCGTCCAGTAGCAACGGCATGATCAAAACGCCATTGCTTTGGTCATGTGATCTTTTCTGAAGAGAATGATCAGATTTTAGGCTAAGCTTTTAAGTGGTCAGTGCTACCTGATCACATGGCCAGATGCTGGAGTTTGGGCTGATATTGGGCTTCTGACGTAAGAGTAACTAAGGTTTCTATTTTTAGTATTATTTTTGATGACAATGATAATATCAATCATGAAAAAAGAAATTGTATTAATACAAAGGGTGTGATTAATATAGACTGGTATAAACAGATGTTTATACTTTTTAAAATATGAAATCATTTTAGCCTCATTTGTTCAGCCAAATATCCGGGAAGATGCCTTGTCTAAATTTTCCTTTTTTCTTTTTTTTTTAAGCTCTCGGTTTAATCCTCGCCATTCTGATCCCGATTGTCGTCGCCGTTGTACTCGGTATAGTCACAATTGCCATATGCTACCACAAAAGAGAATGGTAAGTAAATAAGTGCTTGTGTGGTCAGTCCTTTGGTATCTGAAGAAAAGGATCCATTTAACATTTGTGAACAATATATAACTTTTTTCCAGTATTCTATGGCTGCTGTTGGCACAAAACTTGAACTATTTCCATTCATAAAGTGTAGCTCAAGAACCCTTCACAGCATGTTTGCTCTCTACTGAGATTTCTCTTAAAAGCATCCTGCATTCTCCCAGAATTTCTTGAACTGGGAGTTGCTGAGTGCTGCAGCGTGTTGGGGTGGCAGCTGCACTCAGGCCCATAAGGACAGGAGGCCTAACTATGACTGCTTCTCTTTCTTATTTTTTTTTATCTGAGGGCTCACATGGCATCCTGTCTAGAATAGGGCAGCATATTACATTCCTTTATATTCCCTTCCCTCACTCAGCTCACCCAGCTTCCATTGCATTGGTAAGCAATTGGTCAAAATGTAATTCACCAAAAAGTAGCCAAGATAAAACAGAATAGTACTCTTTGGATGTAGGGTTACAGTTGATGAGGTAGATGACTTTAAGTTATGTCTTTGAGCCATAGTTAAGGCCTATTTCTCAACAACTGACATTTAACTTGCGTGATGGTGTTTTGTACATAAAGTGTTTTTTTTAACATGAAAAATGGCATACCGTCTGTTTGTACAGGATCAAGGAAACCTTCTATCCGGATATTCCAAATCCTGAAAACAGCAAAGCTTTGCAGTTCCAGAATAACATCAGTGAGGTATGTCTGCCACCACTGCAAGCAGTACAGCAGCAGGTGCATTTTACAGAAAATGAACTTTTATTGGATTTTTAGTCCGGGGAGCTGTCCTGGCAGAAAGTTCAGATGAGATTCTCATTGATCAGTGCAGTACACTGGTTGGCGTGGGCGTTGGGAGTATGCTGTCTGATCAGCTAGATGCAGAGGGAATCTGGGGGAGGTTAGAACATTTTATTTATGAAAAGTTAAACTTGCCCTTTAATATGTACAGACTTGAGGAAAGAACGGAAAGGGGGGGAATGATTGAAACCTTTGAATACAATTAAGGGTGTGAATAAGGTTCAGGGAGGCAGTATGAATCGAAGATAAAGAACACAGGAACCTGACTTCAAGCTAGCAGGAGGAAAGTTTAAAACTAATCTTAGAAAGTATATTTTTATCAAAAGAGTAGTTGATGCTCGGAACAGAATTCCAGCTGAGGTAGAGCGGATGCAGATGGCAATAAAAACCTTTGTAATGCAATGGTATATAAGCTAGTTCGAGGCCTTGTCGGTGGTGAGTAGGTTTGTGGTGACACGACTCATTGAAGAGTCCTTTGAGTGGGTCCCTTCAAGTGTCTTAAGATTGTGGGGGTAGGTGAGGAGCTATGTGCATAAATAGAAGTCTTGGAAATGCTGGCCAGTTGCAAAACAATGATATTTTTTTAGTGTACGACATAAAACATAGCCAACGCTGGGTTTGTCATTGCAGTAGACACTCCAGAACAAATTCTCATATTTTGATACAGACTGCAATACTCATGACCGGCAGATCTACCAAAGCCTTGAAGAAGTGGGAGCCTGAATCCCTCCTAACATGTTTGCTGTGTGTTATGTCCTACACTTTTAAAGTAGCCCTTATTCTCCAAATAGCTTGGGTTTCCAAGGCTTTCTATTCACATATGGTGCTCCTTGCACACCTCAGCAAGCAGTGTTCTGTGAGTGCAGGGCACCATGACCAGGGGGTGTGTACTGCCTTCTGGGTTCACATGAAAAGGGATCAATTACACTGGGCAACAATCAGCTCAGAAGAGGACCAGCAGTAGTCCAGGCAGTGGTGAATCTTCATGATATAGGACTGGGGAGAAGGTAAGTGTTGTAGCTGTATATATAAAATAAATTGTGAGCAGAAACTAGGGCCGTTGATGGAATATGTGTTTTTTGATTGCGGGTTGTTTGTAAGTAAAGCATTACCACATGACAGAAAAATAACTTCCTGCCTTTCGGTTTTTTTCCAGGGTACCAAAACTATAAAAACACTGGAGATGAACCCATGTACCCCTAATAGTGTTGAGGTGGTTGAGTCCTTTTATACCGTTCCAAAAATCCTGGACACAGAACTGAATTCTCCAATGTCCGAAAGCGGCCAGCTTCCTGAAGATGGGTCAGAGGCTCCCGATGATGACCACATTGTTGTTTCTTATTGCCAACCCACTAGTCATGGAGATATATCTAATCCAGTGCTGGATGAATCAGCCACTCCTTCCCAGGTGGTGTATATAGATGTTCAGTCCATGTACCAACCGCAGGTCAACTCAGAAGAAGAGCCGGAGAGTGACTTTTTGGATAGCAGTGGTTACAAGCCACAAATGCAGCTACCTATAAGCTCTGTCACCATGGACAGTCATGAACCTGCAGAGGATACCTTAGTGGAATGTGCAGGTTATAGACCTCAGGGACATCCTAATACCTGGGCTGTGGATTCACCAGGTTCCCCTACATCCATTGGAAGTGAAAATGCTTCTTTTGGGAGCCCTTGCTCTGTTAACTCCAGACATTTCTTGATCCCCCCAGTGGACAACAAGGACTCCCTCAAACCAACTCATATAGGATGGTCAATATCTTCTCTCTTTCAGAACAAACAGGATGATTGAACAAGGGATTCTTGACTGCTATAAATCATCTAGTGTATCCCTCAATCCATCCAGGAATTCAGGAGAAAGGCTCTCAGCCTGCTGAGTGTTTTGTACAGACATTGCAATGAAGGGTGGATTTCAAGAAATATATCAGATATCTTTTTGATGGTATCTGTTGGCATGGGAGCTGGATATTTCTCTGCACCTTTCTTCTCAAAGCAGATGGAAAATTGTCATTACCTTAATTTGACGCCTCTTAAATATACTAAAGTACAACCTTGCTGGTAGCTTAGTGTTAGAGAAGAGAAGAGTTATGTTTTACCCAAAAATTTGTGAAAACCAGTTGCATCTTGCACAATTCAAAAAACGTTTATTATCATAGACAATGGCTGGAAAGGTGGTATTTTAGTGAAAATGTGAATTAGCTGGCAATATGCCTATGAATGCAATTGTATCTCAAATGGCAGGGCTGGGGAATGTTTATCGGGGATATTTCAGGGATGTACTTATCTTTTTTGTGTATAAGGGTCCTATTAAATCTTCAAAAATGCAACTTCACAAAGCAAATATTGCTTTGTGAGGACACCAGTTTGGTTCAGACTTGAATGAACAGTATTTAAGGATTTTAACAGAGTAATGAACTAAATGTGATTAAGCAAGGGGTTTTAAAGTTATAGTAGGCAAGACATCGAAGAGAAAGCTTTTGGATCACAGTTAATAGAGTGAAAGGTGATTAATGTGCCTGAGAATATTTGTTGATGGTTTCTGCTCCCAAGTTGATGTTTTGCTGCTCCACTTAAAGAGGAACTCTTGCGACTTCTGTTCCCTGGAGAAGGTTTCAGAGAGCTAGTGGTGCAATTCATATTTACCTATGGTTCCTCTATGTCCCCAGGACCATTTTAATAAAGGGACAAAAAGGGAATTTACACTGAACCCACCAAAATACTTTTTGGAAATGGACTACACTTTATTTTACCCTTTATTTTAAAGAAGTCCGTCCATTCTTTTATGGTGAAAGCTAGTGATAGGGTTAAAATTACACTAACTGAGAATACCCAAATAAAAGCTTGCAGGTAATAGCTTTGATATAATTTTAAAACATTTTTTTAATATTATTTTAAGAAACTTTATTTTGTACTGGAATAAGAAATATTGCTTTCATTTTCAGCAGTGGACTCTCTAGTTACTGTTTTTTTACACCCGCTTATGTCTTAAAGTGGCCTTGTTCATTATATGACCAAAAGTACGTGGACATTCGTACACATTATTGTGCTCTGAAGGACAGAGCCAGGTTGCAAAAATATTTTTGTGTGTAGGAACTCAAATGGCCCACAACCCTGACCTCAACACTATTGAACGCCATTGAAATTAATTGGAAAATTAATTGCAAGACTGGTATTCGTGTTCAGTATCAGTACCTGACCTAATCTTTTGGCTGAATGAGCACAAATTCCCATAGACACTCCAAAATGTTGTGCAAAACTCTCTCAGACGAATGGAGGCTGTTATGCAAATGTTGGGGAGGATCCATAAAAATGCCCGTGGTTTTGGAATGGGATGTCCAACAAGAGGTGATGGTCAGGTGTCCACAAACTTTTGCTCATATAGTGTATTTTCTATTGTGAAGATCCCTTAGAGAGAACATTTTGCTGTAGTTTTTCCATGGCTTCCCCTGCATGAAGAAGAATATCATCCTGAGTGACAGACCTGATAAGACCAATGTATGTAGGAGAGCTGTAACAAAAGCTTTCACCTAGGGAATTGTAGAATGGGACATCACTGGACCAGGGGCATAAACATGAGGACTGCAGTTGTGCCTATCTGCACACTTCAACAAACAGTCTTCACCAAAGTTTCCATTTAAGCCAGGTATAGCCATGGCACCTTCTGCTATTCCCATCGCTAAACATCAGAGCCAACTGAACACACTATTACAATCTGTTGGGGGAATGATAGTGTCTTCATGTGGTTTCACAAACACTAATCCCAGTCCTGTCCCATTAAATATGCACAGTATGATATATATTTTGTGGTTAGTACATAGCTATAAGTGTATATAAAATAACAGGTGATTTTACTGCATGACTATTGCACTGTATCAGACAGACTTGTGTAAATAGAACTGTACATCATGTTTTGGGCTCCATAGTATTTCCACATAGCATCCTTGCACTCCTGGCTCAGCCAGATTGACAAGATAGATATGAATGGAGTATAAAAACCACTTGGGCTACAATGTACCTTAAAGGGCCAGTACAAGGGTTAGGGTTGTTTATATAAACACACTGTTAATACCATTCATAGATAAGTAGTATGGTATAACTGTACATAATGTGAGGTCGTTGACTATACAATGCATTTCGGAATGTTCTTTGTAACTGAAGGCACCACCCTTGGGGTTGTCCGACAGTGACATAAACCGAAAGTTTACTGTGTGTACAAAAAAAGCCTTCCACCATATATCTTACCTTCTATCTCCAGCTCTGATAAGCTCCTGAAATGTTTCAGTTTTTTGTAAATGGTATGTTTTAGCTTCTGAACATTTCAGAATTGTTTTAAGTTTTTGTATGATCCACATTGTAATTAAGGTTTGCTGGCTCTATAAAGAAATAGAAGGGTATTTTTGATCTGGCCAGATGTTTTGTCTCAAGGGTTTTTCAATTTGTATTTCAAATCTACCCAACTTGTTTAAAAAGGCAGCAAAGAGGGCATTAATGGTGCGCAGTGTAGAATTAAGCTGGCCATATGCATTTAGAATTCCATTGGTTCCTCATGCATGCTAAAAAGCGTGGATGGATGAATCTCCTCTACCAACTATTGTACTAGGGAGGGATGGCCACAGAGCCACCCATGGCTCATATTTCGGCAAATTCATTAGGAATCTTCCGAAATTCGAACAGTGTATGGCGAGCTAAAGGCCCCTTTCACACGTGCAGTCCGATCAGATGCCCAATTGCTAGTCTATGGGCATCCAGATCTAAACAGACACCCGGTTGTTCTAGCCAAGTCCGGAACAATAAACTGAACAGTTTTTCATTTCGCCGGGTCTCATTGTGCCGGATTGGGGGTAATGTGATGTAAATAGACATATGTCCATTCACATCTGATTCCCCATAGACTGATATGGGGTCCGGTAGTTTTCTTTCTCCATGGCAAGATGGAGGAAAAAAACTGGATGGACCCGGATGTCACAATGGTAACTTCTGATCCTTACTTCTCCAATCAGGAAGGGATCTGTGAAAGGGGCCTAACAGGAACCTATGGTAACCAGTCAGGTCTCAGTTTAGCATAGAGGGGTTTAATGTACCTGACACGCTGCTGTTTGCCTTTTAAGTATGCCCATGAGAACCCTAATTATGACGTGTGTTGTTTTCCCTTTACACTGCTGTTCTTCTAGAACACTTTGCAGGATTTGGGGAGGTAAAATAAAGTAGAAAATTAGAAGTTTTATGAGGCCACTATCATCAGTTTAATTTTAATATTAGAAGCTACGATTTGTCTGCATGAGTATTTTCAGGTAGAATATTTTAAAGGTGAATCCCTACACAAAGCTGAATACACTGATGCAATACATATAAGTGAGCAGTGTAACCTGCCAAAAGATTTTTATTTCTGTTCATCCACTACTAAGATTTATACAGCTCTGCCAAATAGAACAGTCCTGTCTGATGGTGGAGGAGACCTGATTTTTCTCTGCTGCAGTTAAGAACACTTCAGGGTCTTGTCCCTCCCCCAGCTTGTGAAACAATGAAAGGAGAAGCGGTAAACTGATGAGCTCATCTCTCTGTTTTCTCCTACCATCAGCATGCTTTTTGCACTGCATTACAACTAGTTGGCACCTTGTGTTTTTTCCCTCACCTAGTCTTTGCTCTGCTGTACAGTGGATTGCAGAAAGAAGCTAATACATAGGAAAATGTAGGTGCTTAAGTTGCATGTTGAATACAGAGCTGCATTGATTTGTGCCTGTTTATAATATCTCCATGCATTTCACCTTTAAATGTTTCTATTCCTTTCCTCGGGAGTAGTAGTTCATGTGGGAAGCCCTGTGATTACCGCCTCTCCCTGCTTGGCTATACAGCAGAAAATCCTTTGAGGTCCCTGTTTATGGGGGCGGCCCTCTTTTTGCCCAGACCTGCATGTTGGCTAACCATCATTTTCCTTTGTAGACCTAATTAATAGCGCTGATCTAAATAAGTAATTGGAGCGGGGGAGGAGTTTTGCAATTGTTTTAGCACAGCCCCGAAGGCACGCTTTCCTGGAAAAACAAGTACAGTGAATATGTAATGTGAGCGAAGCCGCTGTATCTGACAGCTATGATTAATCGGGATGATTTTATCTTCACATTCCGCAGATATGAGACATCCACCATTATTCTGATCCTTCTTATTCTGATGATCGTGTCCCATAACGATTGTCACATTCAAAGTTCTGCTGCTTTTGTAGCTTGTTAGACAGTTTGAACTTATCCAGAGGAGTCCTCTCCGATATTTGTCCCTGTCTGGCTCGTTCAATACAGCAAAGATCTGCCACGATATGGAATGTGCGCTAATGCATCGTAACCAGTGCAGTATTTCTTGGTGGGATTTAGGCTACTCATTGGGCACAGCTTATTTTCACACTACTCCTAAATAATCCACCACCAATCAGCATTCAGGTATTGCGAAACTGCAAAAGTAAACGTGGCAGTAGCGCAGTCATGTGACCAATCATTGTGGCAGAGATGCATGAATCGGAACACTGATGGAACCGCATTACAAATCATTTTGCAGATAAAAGCTCTCAAAGTTTTTTTCAGCTTTTTGGAAATTTTAATTGGGATGTGAACTCGCCTTTTGCAAGTTGCCAGTTGCTTGTCAATGGATATGACTTTAAAGTGGACCTTCACCCGGAAAAAAGACCTTTTCTCCATTTAAACCCTTCCCCAGACCACAACATGACCCCATCCTTTTATATTTCTTATATTTCACGTTCGGGCCTTTCCCTAGTGCTCCATTCTTGGCTGGGCAAGACTGAAGTGC